CTCCAACTACCACCTCTCTAATTATCCTCCTCCTCCGCAATCCCTTTCTCTATGACCTCTCTGATCTCTCTCTTTCTTAAGAGATTTATGTTTTTTTAAGTGAGAATCAAAGTGGTTGGTTAAGCGGTACCAAGTCTGCCGTCCAAACATACCACATCAGAATTTTGTGATTAGATTAACAACGGTTAACGATCGGATGATTGATTTATTACAAAATAATAATTTTAATGATTATTTTGTTATTTTTAAAATTTCAGTGCTAAAAAAACTTACTCGTACTTTACTATCCATATAAATTACCTGATTTCTTTTTAATAATTATATCATAAATACATTTATTAACAAGCCTGAAATTTATATATAAATATATATATCAAACTTCATTTAATAATTAAAATAAATTTTTTATTTATCATCGTTTATTTAAATAATATATGAATAATTCAAAAATAAATCATCGAATAGTGATATTGCATTCTTTACGGTCCCACATATTAAATAATAATTCGAATATTTATGGTATATTATTTTTAATATATGAATTATTTTTAATTAAAATAAGATGGAATACATTCATGATTTGTATTAACTACGATACCAAAAACAATCAACAAAAGAAGGAAGGTGCTTATGGAAAAAGAAAAAAAAAAGTGGAATCAATTATCCAACCCTACACTGGAGATCCAATCTACAGGCGAGTGGCGATTGAGAGAAACCGAAAACAGAGCAGACTACATTTTTTTTTCTAAAAAAAAAATCCATACAATTACCCCAATAGAAACAAACGTTTGCATTGAGAGATGGTAAGCAAAACCGAAGAGACCCAACTGAATAGGTTAGAAAACCAGGTAGATAATGGAGGAGGAGGTGCTTGGGAGTACCTTTGCCTTGCCAGGAAGCTCAAAGTTTGGCATTCAGAGAAAGTCTTGAAATATGGTTTATCCATCTTAAACGATTCCAAGAAAAGATCTTCTCTTGGCCCTGAAGGTTAGTGTTGTTTCCTCTCTCTTTTATCTTCTTTGGTTGATTTGCGAGATTGGGTTTTTCTTGAATTCCATGGTTTTCAAGTGTTTGGTCTGAATTTTTAGCTTTTTTAATTGGTTTTCGTAATTGGGTTTGTTTTGGTTTTAGATTTTTGTCTTTCAGTTCTTTTATCGGTTTTGCTTGAATTCAACAACTTGATGCTTTATGGATTGCTGCCTCTGAAGCTGATTTGCTTGATTTTAAAACTTGAAGCTTTATGCCTTTTTTACGAAATAGGATCGAATATTTTAGTTAAATTGAGTGTGGTATTAACTGTGAGGCGGTGTGATTGGGTATAAATTGAAAGTGAAACTTGATTTGAATTGCATCTAGTAGAATAAGAATTAGCTTGGTAAGCAAGTCGGGTTAAGTTTACATTACATTGAATTCTCAGCTGAGGTTTTGAGAAGTAATAAAAATAGTTAGGAAGGGTTGATGATGCACAATTTGTATACCTTGTATTCTTAGACATTTTGTTAGTTTTATGCACACATTTAGATAGGAGAAATTGTTCTAGGTTTAACATTTTTCATTTGCTGTGACATCATCCGTTTTTTCTTGGTATTGAGTTCATACACCACTGAGGGCAATGCGTTTGAGAACCAGTGTTTTCTAATCTTCCGAAATGTGATATTCTGTGTTGCGTTCAATCTGTCTTTTTACGACTAGTCAGCATATGTTACTCATGACTTCACTTAATTAATAACATGTTTTTCGTGAACAGTTATAATTACTAACAACTAGTTATATCCTGATGCAGAATGGACGCTATATGAGCAGGTAGCTATTGCTGCTATAGATTGCCAATGTCTTGATGTTGCAAAGGTACAAATTTGTCTGAGTTTTTCAATTTTAGATTGATTTTAAGCCTTTTGTTTCTATATTATGTTAAGTCAGTTTTTGCTCTAAAGAAATAATTTTTGAGATGGAGTTTTGTATTTATGGACAAAACTAATTCTAATCTTTTACCTATTTAATTACTGATTGTGCCATAAGATTAATCGCTCTCATTGTTGATTTGGCTTCTCTTTCCAACATGTTAAGAATATTTCTTTTTGATTGAAAGAGTTCTTTAAGGCGGTGCTTGTTCTTACAGTTTTCTCATGCTTTATAAAGCCATTAGTTAGAAAGATATGGCTTTAGCCTTTTTTATCATTTATGTGCAAAATAGTGTAACTCTTACCAAATATTGTTGGTTTGAGCTTCACTGAAACAGTTCTTATGCTTATTTGTATTTTACCTTGTTTCTTGAATCATAGTTCTTTTTAGCATAGATGTTTTGATAGTAGACTTGAGAAGTTGTGTCTTACATTGGTACAATTTAATGTTGCAGGATTGCATAAAGGTTTTACAGAAAATATTTCCAGAGAGCAAAAGGGTTGGTAAGTGTATACGACTTAACATGTTTTATGTTTCTGGTTTGTGTGATGAAAAGGGTATGTATATTTTGGTACTAATTTATGCTACGGATTCAGTGATATGTGATTCACACATTCATGGCTTACTTTTGATCTTTTAGACACTTGAATTAAGCTTCTTCTTGACATCTCATCCAGCATTTTACACTAAACCTTGTTAGTGTAATGGCTTGAATAAGGATGGACAAGCTCATACTGTTGCTATATTAGTTTGGATTCCGAAGGATGCTGTTGACGGTAATCATTTGCTCTTAACATTTGATGGCCTTTTGGTTTTGTTTTTTAATGATCTACAGGCAGGCTGGAGGGCATGTTGCTTGAAGTAACAGGATCGTGGGCAGAGGCTGAAAAAGCTTACTCAAGTCTTTTAGAGGACAATCCACTTGATCAGGTAATCATTCTGCCACCACTGTTCAGACCACCGCTCCCCCTTCTCTCTCTCTTTCCTGAACCGTAATGGTGTTCCTTTTTTATTGAGAAATATAATGGGCTATGATAACAAATCCTATATTGGGCAGGTAATACATAATAGGAGAGTAGCAATGGAAAAGGCTCAAAGAAATATTTCAGCGGCTATTTGTGTGGCTTAATAAATATCTTGAAATGCGAGATATCTCGTAGAACTCTCGTCCCTCTCCCCCCTCTTCCACAGTTACTCATCTTTTTTTTTGTGATTTATCAGTTATTTTTCCTAATTCGATACTTTCCAAATGAGCAAATGGCACTCAATTTCCCTTTTTGTCTTTTGCTAGATTTATGGCAGATCATGATGCTTGGAGAGAACTTGCAGAGATATACGTCTCCCTGCAAATGTGAGTTTTAATTAGTACGGCTTAATATTATCTACTTTTATGTTGCCAATCGTAAAATAGCAGTGATTCAAGCTTTCCGTTTGGTTGATATATCAGGTACAAACAGGCTGCATTCTGCTATGAGGAGCTTATTTTGTCTCAACCGACAGTTCCCCTGTATCATCTGGCCAATGCTGATGTGAGTGTCTTCTTTATTATATTTAGAAACTTAAGATACTTAAGACTCTGAGGGTGAGTGTCAAAATAAAAGTATGCATCCGACACGGATATCTCAGTTGTTTTGAAGAGGATTGTACCTCCATACCCATGTCCAATATATGTAGGATATGGATACTTAAGGGAAAGTGAAGTCCTGAACTGACATAATTAGAATCTGGGATGCAGTTTCATTTGCAGTTTCTCAAATTCCAAGTTTACTAGAGAATAGCATTCTCTGTTTAAATGCCCTTCTTTTAGATTATTCTCGTTCATAATGAGCTCAACAATTTAAAAAATGGTTTAGTAGTAATTATAGTTCTACCAGAATTTGATGAACCAATTCCTTAGTGAATGTGGTTATTCAAGAAAGTAAAATACAAAAAATCCATACCATAAAACAACAGTGATTCCCGACCAATCAAGAAGGGAACTCTCGTAATAAGCGTTGGACCAGTCTTATAATCAGTGGTGCCCTATCCCTAAACTGGCATTGATACCATTTGAGGGTATTTGTCTGTTAATGAGATTTTTATGGATGCATTTAATTTCCTAAGATTGGGGACATTAAACACTCCATCCAGGATAATGCATTTTGTCTTGCATTGGTTCAAGAAAAGACTTCTAGCCTGAACTCTTTGGATTCTCCCCTGAATTATTCTTTTGATGATTGCGTACTATGCTTTTCATTAACAGGTACTTTATACACTCGGTGGATTCGAAAACCTTGAGGCGGCGAAGAAATACTAAGCAGCGACTATCGACTTGACTGGGGGCAAGAATACCAGAGCAGGTAGAACCACCCCGATCCTTATTTTTCCCTCATCACAATTTCTCAAGGAGTGAGTCCCCACGGGATCTCAAACTCGTAGTTTGCCCATCGTGCAAACTACGACACATCGACAACCTTATCACCTCAATCGATAAAATTAGTCACTAAAGTAAAAATGTTTTCAAAGTAAAATATAATTGACACATGAGAAACAAATGAAATTCTCATCCTTAAAGCAAGGTTGCATGTACTTATAATTGATGATCTAATAAGAATTAAAGGAGCTCATTGACTATAATAAAATACTCCTACAGTGTCTTTCTTGGTAAGCATTTTCCTCTTTTTATTTTATTACACCCTCTAAATTTTCTTAAATTTTAGTCCTTTATCTATAATCTATGTTATAGAATTTTTAAAAATAAACCAAAAAATTTTTTTTATTCATTAAATTAATGTTAAAAATAATTTTTTTATTATAATCAATTGAGAATATTAATTAAATAAAACCATGATATTATTGAAATAAACTTTAGATTTATATCAAAGTATACTTGTACAGCACTAGAAATACATACGTCGGTCTGACTAGTTGTTTTACAACACACCGATGAGCCACAGCCCCACTCCGCCTTCTACTACTTCCTTTTGACTTGTTAGTTTTCAGTTTCTCTTTTCGTTTTTCTAGAAAGATTTTCCTTTTTTTTATTATTTTATTCTAAATTTTGGTAAATTTCAGGTAGTTTTATCTTTGTTTAATTGAGTTTAGGTTGCACAAGATAGATGATCGAACTTATCTCTGGTGAAACTGAGAAGGTAGTTTTTGCTTCTTACTGAATTCAAGTTTTCTGACAGTAACATGTTTCTCTCCACTTATGACATTTTGGAATAGATGGTCTTATCTGGTTTTGTTATCATTTTGATGTTTTGATTTATTTAACAATTTCAGTAGTAACCTGAATTTCCTGCCTCACTCTCATATAGGTTGTGCGAATTTGGGACCCAAGAACTGGTTCAAAGTCTATGAAGCTAAGAGGGCATATAGATAACACTAGGGCTCTGCTTCTGGATTCTACTGGCAGGTTGGTGCAATGAATTGAGCTCTGCAGTTCTGAGATAAAATAGAATTAGCTTGGTGTTAGTTGGAGGTCTTACACTTATGGAGCTTGATCATGCATCATGAGACATCTTTCTGTCCGATACTTTATCTTGCAACCGTGTTAATGTTAGCACTGGCACAATCTGGTTGATTGATTGGAAAATTTTGGTATATTCCCCATTGTCCCTTGATGCTAGATATTTTGATAAAAATGCTGGTGGTTGAATTGCGGAAACCAAACCAAACCTTGTTATGGCTTTATAGCATTTTGTTTTCATCCGGAATGTGGCTTTCTGGTGAATTGCGGTGCATACAGATTCTGTTTGGGCACTTGCGAGCACCCCAACATTTAGTCATGTTTATAGTAGTGGTAGAGATTTTTCTGTAAGTATCATGCTAAAACTTTTTAATGGACATGTTTATCATTTTTGACATTTAGTCACGTTTACCCTTTGTAATGGGATTTGGGTTGGGATGTTCTGCTACTGTTAACTAACTGTACTTGTGAGTGGTAATTTAATGGGGAAGGGTTTAATTTGATACTGATTTCATGTGAGTGAGATTGGAAGGATTTGGGGTTGGTTTAAGATTTCAGCCAATTCTTGAAATTAGAGAGTATGAAGAAGAATAAGTGATTTATGCTTAAGATCTAGAATTCCTTAAACTTTGCTCTAGGGTAAGGGTTGGCAAAATAGTTGCTGAATTTCTCGAAAAGTTGTTTAGTAAATGAAGTCAATCATGCTCATTTATGGATTCATACTAATAATATTCATACAAATACAGGGGATGTGAAGTAGGAAACTTCCAAGTTTAACTTGGTAAAATTACAGCATCTAAATAATGAATAAAAGCCTAATAAGACGAACTCAAGTAACTATGATTCCTAACATCAAATTCTTCAGTTCCTATAAAGGCTAAAACTATCCATTTAAGGGGGGGGGGGAATGAGAAAAAGCCTTGCAAATCGATGAAATTTAATGTTAAGACTTGCTAATAACTATTCTTGCTTATATAAGTTTTAAATCATTCTGACATCAAATGATGGCTATACTTCTATATATTCTTGGTTAGTAATCTTGACAATTCTTAACATCCTTGTCTGTTACTTCTAATATATAGCCTTAACTCTTGACTTGTGCTTACATTTATACCTACATCTGTTATATTTGACAGACTTGTCAACAAGAGAAAACATATTGCTTTGCACCAAGGAACACCCAATTTCACTACTGGCATTTCATGATGATAATATATGGGTTGCAACGACAGACTCTTCAGTTGATAGGAGGCCTGCTGAAGGACAAAACCCTCAGAAGGTCTTTCAAAGAGGTGATTCATTCTTGGCTGGAAACTTGTCTTTCTCGAGGGCAAGAGTTTCTTTAGAAGGGACTGCCCCAGTAAGTATACTGTGTGTGTACTTGTGTGTGTGTGTGTATATATATATATATATATATGTTTGAAATTATAGCTAAACATCTCGTTAATTAGTATGACAAGTTTGATCTCAAAATTCATCTTTTCTCTTTTATAAATACTAGTTTTCTTATATGCTTGCATTTTAGTGAATTAGATGGTTCTCATTGAGTTTTCAATGGTTCTTTTTCAATGTTTTCTTGCTCAACCAACCCCAAAAAAGAAAAGAACAGATATTAGATTTTCTTTTATGAACCATGATATTTTTCTTTTTGAAGTTTGGCTCTCTATGGAATTTGTTTTAACATTTATTGTCTATCCCTTTCCCTTTACTGATGTTCTGACATTGTTGGGCATTGACAGACTCCTGTTTTTAAAGAACCAATATTTACTATTCCCGGAACGCCAGCAATAGTCCAGTATGAAATTTTAAATAAAAAAAGGCATGTATTGACTAGGGTAAATGTGATAATACTTGTATTTGTTAGATTTTGGTTTCAAAGATCTTGTTTCCAGGTTTTTCTTTTTTAATATTAATGCTTCTTTAACAGGATACTGCTGGTTCAATAAAGCTCTGGGATATAACCATTTTGTCTTTTTCTCTAGAGTAGAAGTGGGTTGCACTTTGCTTTTCACTTACAGCTTGGGTGCAGATAAACACACTTGTAGATGCACAATTATGTTTTTAGTTGTGTGTGTTGATCCATTTCTTTAATTTCAATGCCCAGGTTTCATATGACGAGAAAAAGGAGCAGTTGTTTGAGATGGTGCAGTAACTACATAGTTGAAATTACATCATTTGAATATAATGCATCTTCCTTTATTGAATTTATACTTGATTTTTGTTAAAATCCATTCTATTTCTAGGTAACCATTCCTTCATGGTTCACTGTGGATTCCCCGCTTGGAAGCTTGTCTGTTCATTTGGACACACCCCAATGCTTTTCTGCAGAGATGTATTCTGCAGATTTGAAAATAACTGGCAAGCCTGAGGATGATAAGGTATAAAATCTTTCCATTGGTTGTGGCATTATTTTGACACAGTACACATGACAAATCTCTCTGATTATTATATTCATCTGGTGTTGACTTGTCTTTGGCAGATTAATCTAGGTCTTGAAACCCTTAAAGGTCTTTTAGCTCATTGGATGGCCAAAAGAAGGCAAAAACTTGGCTTGCAGACTTCAGCTAATGGAAATGTTTTATCAGGAAAAGTTACTACCCAAAGAAGTCTTGCTCATTCAAGAATTGAGGTTGATGGAAATGCTGAAACTGTCCCCACGGTCTATCCTCCTTTTGAGTTGTCTACAGTTTCCCCTCCTTCAATTATCACTGAAGGTTCCCAAGGAGGTCCTTGGAGAAAGAAAATTACAGAACTGTATGGTACTGAGGATGAGAAGCACTTCCCCTGGTGGGTTTTGGATTGTGGGTTGAATAATCAGCTCCCATCACGAGAGAACACCAAGTAACTTCTCTATCCATCTCGAACTTTCCTTTGCTTAATTAGATTGTAACTAACAAGTTTGCATTTTGCAACTAACTTGGCGTACATTATTGTGTTGTCAAATATGCTTGCTACACGGGGATGAACTTAAAAAATTGTTTGTTCACTATGTTTTTGTTTTGTCATAGCCTTCGGTCATTATTGTTTAATATTTTTCTAGTGGACATATGCTTTTCTCTTTATGTAGAAAATAAATAAATGTGCTTCCTGTGTGTTGTAGCAATAATTCAGAACCATGGATAATATTTATGCTCCAAATCTTGTAATAAGTAGGGTATCTTTCAATCGTTTCTCCTTTTCTGAAGTTTCACTTCTCATTTTTGCAGGTGCAGCTTCCACCTTCATCCATGTGAAGGTTCAGCTGTTCAAATCCTCACACAGGGGAAGTTAAGTGCACCTCGCATATTGAGAATACAGAAGGTAGGCTTGTTTGGTTTTCTTCCGTACTTGCAAAAGGCAATTTCTTTTACATGGCATTTGTTTGTGTGAACTAGGCAAATGTTGTTAGCATACAGATTTAGATCACGTAAGGGTCAAAAGACTAATGTTAGGTTATTACAAATTTATTTTAGGGCACATTGATAGTGACATTCACTTGTGGTTATGTAGGTTATTAATTATGTCAAAGAAAAGATGGTGCTTGACAAACCAATTGATAGTTTAAATACCATTGGATCATTTGCTCCTGGAATTGGAGGACAATTGCAGCATTCATCAGTTGGAGATGGATTGCTTTGTTCTGGACTAAAGCCTTGGAAAAATCCTCGGCATTCTATTGAGATTTTATGTAATAATCAGGCAAGTCATTTTCATATCAAATGTGGTGTTCGAAATCAATATAGTATCAACTTGTCAAGTTCAATCATAGTAAGCTAGTCGTTTGTTTGGTTTGCTATCATGTGTTGCAGGTATTATCTCCTGACACGAGCTTATCTACTGTGCGGGCTTACATATGGAAGAAACCCGAGGACTTGGTGCTTAATTATAGAGTGATTCAAAGGAGGTGATTTATTGGTTTCTTGGAGCAGGTGAGTTGGACGTATACTACTTCTAACATAATAACATATACATGAACGTAAATTCTTTAAGAGACATTAGTTGTCATGATAACAACAGGATACTTGTATTCACTTGGATTTCTTTTCGGTTTATTTGCTTTAAGTTTTTGGGAGAGGAAGCATGCCGGCGATTATTCTCTTCATTTCGATGAGTAAATTAACATCACATAGTTTCTCTTTCCATTGGAAATATCCATGGAAAGCAATTAGTTTAACTGGAATTTGAACTGTATTTTCTTGCATCTATCGGGTTGTAGGTTGGTCTCAGTATATTTTGGTGGAAAACTCATGTCTTTTGTATGTTTGCCTACTAGGATCAGAAGTGTGTATGGATCCTATAACATATCTATATGTATATATAAACATACATATCGAGCAATGAGGGGTTTCGGATATGGCCATATGGAGGCATTTCTCCATACATAGTCAAGTGGGGTGCATAAGTGTTTGATCTTTGTTTAGTCCAGATGTTCATGCATTTTCCATATAATTACCCGAAAGAAAATGGGCAAAGTTGGCATATGATGTCGAAAGCTTTGTATATTTTGCATTGTGGTACAATACTTTAAATCATAGATATCTTTTTAGGTTTTATTCCTAGGAATAAGGCAATTATTTTTCATCTGATCAGTATTCAGTCATACATTTCTTGGAAGAAAAAAAGGTCTCATTTTAATGCGTATATGTATGTTTTCCAATATGTTGTTTATTTTTTGAATTCGTATAATATTTGAATTTAGATATTTTAAGTACCATATATAATGCATTAAGAGTACATGTGGATATATACGGGGTAAAGAATCCTTGTGGTCATTTTGGAGGTGGAATTTTGAAATCCAAAGCATTGTGTTGTGGGAAACCAACGCATTTTACATTGTGCCATTTGTTTGGTTTTCATAATTTATTGGATGAGGTTAGTGGGGCGCAAGGGGACATTGTGGGGGGTGCCGTGCACAGCTTTGGAGGGTAACCATGAAGACTTCTCAAAGTTCCCGAGGCAGTGCAAAGTGGAGGCCTTAAGCATTTCATTCAAAAGTGATCATCGAACTTGGGAATGGAATATTAAACTCGTTGAATTGTGTCATTTTCCTGCTGGAAGCCGATCTGGTGTTGCTTGAGGTTCTTGGATAGGATAATCCACAGAATCTTAGTTAAATCAAGGTGCAAGTGTCATCTTAGTCATGGATATGAACAAGTTTAGAGCTGAATCGCATGTGGCATAGCAAAGCCTATGAGATAAGTTGAGTGTTCCGCAAACGGAGGAATTCTCCAACAGCATAAACCCGGATCTTATTCAAGTTCGAAGTGTTAGAAATGACCATCTGTTATTCGTTCCAGTTGGTTTCTCTACAGGCATCTTTCATGGCTCCTCAAGCTCTAATGTTTTTCCTGCTCATAGTGGTGCAATGCTAAATCTGGATTTACAAACGGATCAAGCACACAGACAAATACTTCATGAGGAATTGTCGCTTTCAGGGATTTAGCTGGTAGGGAAAGCAATCAGGACCCTAGGTTTGTTGGCTTCCATCGGCATTTAGGAAATTGAAATTGTTTCTCACCATCATCAAAGTGTCCTGTTTCTGTTTGAGCTGATGTAGTCAACGTTGCCTCTTCGGATGGATTTGATATGTATCTTTAGTTGGTTGTAGTTCTTGCTTTGTTCGGTCGGTTGCAATGTTTTCCATTGGAATTGTCTCTATTCGCTTTTGTTGTCTCTGTAAGCCTAACTTTCGATATTGGTATTTTCTTTGTATTGTTCTTATGTAGCACTCTTTTCCTCCAATTAGATTAGGGGGGTTTTTAATGAGGCTCATAAGTTGTTCTTCGTCTCTTGATTTTAATAAATCATCATTCTTATAAAAAAAAATTGATATTATTTAAGTAGGTTTCGAGTTTGAGCTTTTGTGTTGGTAGAAACTCTTCGTTGGAAGATCCATCCACCAAAATCAAAATATATGACAAGGATAGGTTCGAATTAATCAGGGCAAAGCTCTGGGGAATCGTGAGGAATACAAAAATAAATGTCTAAACTATACAATTTTCTCATTTGAGTATCTAAACTATTTTCTTGTCAATCCATGTGGTTAACATTACAAACGTTGCTATCTTAAGTGCCTCGGCCATAACGGTGTTAAAAAAGTTCGTTAAGTGACACGTGTTGTATTCATATAATTTTAATTTTAAGGAATTTTTTTTATTTGTAATTTTAAGGATTTTTAAAATAAAATTTTTAAAATTATATAAATATGACATGTGTCACTCAACGAAAATTTTTAACGATCAATGTGACCGAGACACTTAAAATAGTAACGTTTATAACGTTGTGTATCTTAATTGACCGAAAAATAATTTAAGCATGATAAATATATATAATTTAAGTATTTGTTTTTATATTAAGTTAAAATAATTAAAAGAAAAGGGGAAAAACATTATTCTATTATAACCATACCATGATGGTCCTTTGTAGCTTTGACGTTCCTCGATGAATATTCTTGACATATAACAAAACATAAATGAAAATTACACCTCCAAAATATCTAATAACGAGACAAGAATATATAAAGAAGTTATAACTAATGTACATAAAGAAGTTATAACTAATGTACATAAAGAAGTTATATAAAAAATCCTATCTTTGTGTTGATAGCATCTTGCTTTCCTTTTTTGCATGGTTGCCAATTTGCTGTTGCCTTGGTGCAGAAACAGCAGATGGAAGAGACAACAGCTGATATGAAGGGATTATGTTCCCTTCTGTTTTTTTTTACTTTTTGTATTTTTTATAAAAATAAAAATTATATATATTTGAGTGGAAAAATTGGTGATTACACATTGAAGTGATAAACAAGAGCAATGCTTAGTGATAATTTAATGTGCCCATCTTGTTTTAACTCATATAAAATGGGATTCAAACTTTTTTTTTAGGAAATCTCTTTAAATTGAATGGAATTGATGGTTGGGAATATTAGACTTGGACCCCTATAAATATATATAAAATTTACTAATGTTCTAATATAAAATTTATCTATATATATATATAAAAGATGCAGTTGGACCATGCAAGCCTACACTACAACATGGGTTGCCCCAACACATGAAAATGACTGGGAATATATGCATGAAATGGGCATCTTTACTCTTGGAGGTAAAAAACAAAACACTTTTTAAAGTATAATTTTTTTAATATTTTGAGGTGATTATAAGATAATATCTAGTGAATTTTTTTTAGTCATTAATAACACACTCTGCATATGTAGGTGTCCAAACTCAAGATTTTTAAGGAGAACAACACTCCATTTTACTATTAATGTCACTTGATGACTTCACTTTTAAAGTATAAGTTTAAACTAATATATAGTGAATTTTTTTAATAGTCTGGATGATTACAAGGTAGTATTTGTTCAGAACTTTCTTAACCTATTGATAATGCATACACGCCTTAAAGACGTAGTTGCTCGAACTCATGATCTCTAGAAAAAACAACATTCTCTTTTATCATTGAGACAATTTGATGAGTTAATATATATAATCTTTTAATGGGAAATAAGGTGTTACAAAGTATGCAAGAAGTATTAGAGAAAGTAAACATTATGTTGGCCAACTATTTAGGAATGTGAACTTTTAGAGATGCATAATTTTAGGGAGGGATCGCTTTTTCAAATTTCCTTTTTTTTCTTTTTTGTGTGTGGGTGGGGGATTACATTTTGCCCTAAGTTATGCTATCTCTAATTTTTTTTTTAAAAAAATTATCCAATTTTTATATTTAATACGTTTTTTAATATAAATAAATGATATAATTTCTAAAATATATGAAGGAACTAAAAATTAAATATTTTTTTATAATAAAAAGTAGGGTCAGCGACATTCATATTTGCATGTGATGTGAAACGATTTCCTTTTTCCTTTTCTTGATCAAATTTGTTCACCTACAGCTTATTGTTGAGTTTCTTTTGGCCTTTATTCCATCTATTTTCTTTACAATTTTCTGTTTTTATTATATCTAATATTCGATAAATGTGGCAGCTGAGTTGTTTTTCTACATTTAATGTTTCTTTTAATGGTATACGATGATTATCATATGTATCTGTTAATTTTTTTAACTTACAATAATGCGCACACACATTACAGATGTAACTATTGGAATCCGAGATCTCTTAGATGAACAATATTTTATTTTATCACTGAGACCACTCAAAAATTTTTTCCTAAATTTGATATTTTTTATAGAATTTTAAATTTAATATTTTAATATAATTGATCATCAGGTATCTTCTTCTTTATTTAGTTGATTTTAAGTATAAATTGATCGAACGTTGGTCTGACTAGTGCTAAAACATGATAAAATAAGGACATATGCTATTAGCCTAAGCCAATATTTAAGATTCATAATTAAATGGAATAAGATACGGTCACACTTTAATGATTTGGTTCTTTAATGTATGATTAATATTAAATTCTGAAAACAGAGTCACATTACTTCATGTGTTAAAACATCATCCAAATAATACCAAAATTAATATTCTATTTCGGCTATCTTGTGAGGCATATATATTTAAAAGAATAAGGTGTTTTCTCAAAATTTTTATGTTGTCTTTCTCTTTCATTTTGATTTTTATTTAGTCGACGACTATATCAATGTTAATGTTGGTCGCTGACTCCTGGTGATTATATTTTTCATACTATATCATTTATTTAATTTTTTAATTTTGAATAAGAACTTTTGTCATTGTGACACACTTTTCTATGCTCTTGTAGCACTCGTTTTCTCTATTCTTATGGCATGATCTTATGACTTTTGGTATGCTTTTTGTATACCTTTGCGGTCATTTTGGTGCTCGCACAAACGACACTTATTTTCTAATTGGTTTGTCGGTAATCAAGTATAGTCAAATCCCCTCTTTAGTAAAAGGATGTTTGTCGATGTAGTCAGAATTGTGTAGCGAAATAGTTTGTCAGATAATTTGGTTCGCTCACCGCTCCTTTATCGCTTCAT